ATTTTTATATGTACAAGTGTATTGCCTGCATGTATGTGAATGAACCCATGTCATGCAATGCCAAGGAGGTCAGAAGAGGGCTTCGGATTCCCCTGGAACTGGAGTTAAGGACAGTTCGTAGCCGCCATGTGGGTGCTGGGAATGGAACCCAGGTCCTCTGCAAGAGCAGTCAGTGCTCTTAACTGCTGAACCATCTCTCCAGCCCCCATATAATTATTTTTAAAATTATGTGTATGTGTGTGTCTGTGTGGGGGTATGTTCAGTGCAGGTGCCTGCAGAGAGGCCAAAGGAGGTCAGATCTCCCTGGAACTGGAGTTATAGGCTTTTGTGAGTTACCCAACATGCTGGGAAATGAATTCAGATCCTCTGCAAGAGCAGCATGTGCTCTTAGCAGCTTGAGCCATCTCTCCAGCCCCCAATCAACCTTTAAGCTTGTCAGTTAACTCTAAGTATCAGCCTGAAAATGTTCTTAAGATGATGATACCCAATAATTTATGATGTCCTTCAATCCTTCTGTTTTTAATTATACATAGAAACAATATATAGGGTTGGAGATGTAGCTCTATTGGTAAAGTGCTTACTTACCATAGACTAAGCCCTGCATTCAATCCCCAGAACTGCATAAAATCTCAGCATGGTAGTACATACTTTTAATCCCACCATTGAGGAGTTGGAGGCAGGCGTATCAGGAATTTAAGGTTATCTTGGGCTACAAAACAAGTTCAGGGTCACCCTGAGACTCTGACTCAATGGGAAAGAACTTGCTTCACAAGCCTGAGAACCAGAGTTCAGAACACACATCCACGTAAAATGCCAGGTGTTGGCCACGTGTACCTGTAATTCCAGTGCTGTAGGAGGCAGAGACAGCATGATAGCTGGGGCTTGCTGACTGCCAGCCTAGCTTCAGTTTCAGTAGGTGACCCTGTCTCAAGGGAATATGGCAGGAAAGGGTAGAGTAGGACACCTGATATTTTCTTCTGGTCTCTGAACTGAATGAGTATGCAAAGGTGCATGTACCCAGCACGCATGTGCCACACTCACACAAAGACACAAAAGATAAGCAATATATTTGAAGATGAAATTTGCTTGAATATAAATCTATAGTAATAGATACATCCTCTAATGACATTAGGTGTTCTATCGTTTTAAAAAATTTTTATTTTTATTTTTTTTATTTTATGTGTATGAGTAAGTGCACCCATGTTGTGTGATGCCTTTGGAGGTCAGAAGAGGGCATCAGATCCCCTGGAACTAGAGTTATGGATGGTTTAGCTGTCATGTGGGTGCTAGGAACCAAACCCAGGTCCTCTGTAAGAGCAGCCAGTGCTCTTAACCACTGAGCCATCTCTCCAGCCCCTTGTTCTATTATCTTTAAAAGCCACCCTGTATTAATGAACTACATTTAAAAAAATAAAAAAAAAGGATCCTTTAAAGGAAAATGAGACAACACAAATCATCTAAGTATAAAAAAAATTCACATAAAATACTCTACAATCTATATAAGGGACAAAACAATAAGGGACATTTAAAGGACAAATATAATTAGCGATTAACATACTTACTATTTAATTAATACTGATATATATTCTAGCCAGCACCAATTTCTACAGCCCAAAGAAACAAACTATTGACTCTATCTATATGATCATATACTGAGAAGTATTCAAATGTTACACATCCAGAGGCTGACATCCTCAAATCCACTATACGTAATAAGGAAGTGTTTGCCCATTTCACCCTAAAATTGAGTTAAAAAAGAAAATGGATGGCAATTACATCTGAAATACATATCCAATGGAAGACAGAACCTAAGCTAACTACCAATGTTTAAATTATTACTAAGACTACCTATATGTTAAGGAAGCAAAAGTCTAACTCAATGCCAACAGCCTGAATTTCAAAGGGAAACCAGAACCTGCCCAAGAGCCATAAACTCAAAAACATACAAAATAATGGAGAAAGAGACAACTAAAATGACAAGAGTTCAAAATTCACTATGGTTTTATTTGGGTTTTTTAGGATGGGGTACGGAAATCTACAAGAAATATATTGAGAACAGCTAAGGAAGCATTTTTAGTATTTTGTAATGCTAAGAAATGTTAATGCTAAAAATAAAGGTTGATGGTTGTTAAATTCAGACACCTTTTAGTGTGTTTAGCTTTTCTGAGACTTCAGTTTCTAATGAATAATAGCAATGAATAAAGGCTACCATTATTAATGACTCTTCACTGAGATTTAAGAAATAAAATTCTTTATCTGCTAATTGGTGCTAAGTATCAAGGACTTCATTGGCTGGAGTAGACAGGAAAAAGTGGTTAAGAGGCTTCAGAGAAACAACCCCTGCTGGCACATTACCCACTAGAGTAGACAAAGACTATTTATGTGAACTCCAGATTAAATTCACCAAAAATGTCCCTTCATGAAACACTAAGTCCAAGCTCCACAACTGAATAGAAGCTCAACAGTCTTAGCTCAGCTAAAAGAAGTGATGTGGTTTGTACTGCTTCAATTTACAAGTGACTAAAGTAGTGAAGATGTCCATTTAGAACTTCTCACAAAAACTAAGTTTAGGAATTTCTTTCTTCTGTAACTGTTTCAACCCCATATAACAGGAGTAGGACAGAAAAGATAATTCAACTCTATAAACATGGAACTCCCTTTAAAAAACATGCTGGGCTGGAAGTATAGTTCAATGGTAGAATGCTTGTCTATCGTGCACAAGGCCCTGGATTTTATTTTTAGTACAGCAAAACCAAAAACGAGAACAACCCAACATGCCATCCCCCTCTAGTTTATTAGTCTATTTTACCAATTCACTGTTCCAGAAACTCTTTTTTTCTTGGATAAGCAAAACCAGTATCCTACATGAATAAGGAAGAAACTAATAATCTGCTGCCTATTTATTAAGCTTGCCAGCTCCATATTCAGTAATTTTTGTTTCTTTAAACAAACTGATTAAATTCTGGAAAAAAAAAACCATTTTCAAACAAGTCACCATTTTAGTGCACCTTCCTTATTAATTTTAGGAACAAATTTTTATTTAATATAGGTGTGATAGCACACCTCTAATCTCAGCACTGGAGAGGCTTAAGCAGGTAGTTCTTAAGTTCAAAGCTGGCTAGTCTCAGTTACATAGCAAAACATCTCAATAATCAAAAAAATGTATTCAAACTATTTATTTATTTTGAGGTGTTCAGGCTTGAAATTCCCAGGGCAAGAATTTTACTGGTGAGTTCTACTACATTTCCAGCCTTACATTCAAACTTTTATAAAACAGATTTTAATGTAAATATCTGGTACAGGGTAACCTTAGCTGAAATGGGTGGGACTAGAAATGCTGTGAATTTGTGGTGGTGGTATTGTTTTGTTTTGAAGTATTTTTTATACTTTTCCCAGCTTGGAATCCTTAATTTGAAAATCTGGGGCTAGAAAGATGGCTCAGTGGTTAAGAACATTGGCAGTTCTTACAGAGACTCAGGTTCAGGTCCCAGCACCCACACAGCTGCTAACAATTGTCTGTAACTCATTACAGGGGATGTGATGCCCTCTTCTGACCTTCACTGTCATTGCACACACATGGTGCACTTACATACATGTAGGCAAAATATCTATACACATAAAAACAAATAATTTTTTTTTTTGGTCTTTTTTGAGACACAGTCTCCCTGTAGCCCCAGCTGTCCTGGAACTTACCATGTAGATAGACCAGGCTGGCCTTGAACTCACAGAGATCCACCTGTCTCTGCCTCCCGAGTGCTGGGATTGCAGGCGTGTGCCACCACGCCCAGCACAAATAAATTTTTAAAAATCTAATACTCTAGAAATCTGAAACATTTTGAGTTTCATATTGGCATTCAAAAGTCTTCTTTTTTTTTTTAAAAAAAAAAGATAGGATCTCTAGGGGCTGGAGAGATGGCTCAGCAGTTAAGAGCACTGATTGCTCTTGCAGAGGACTCGGGTTCGATTCCCAGCACCCACATGGCAGCTATGAACCGTCCTTAACTCCAGTTCCAGGGGAATACGAAGTCCTCTTCTGACCTCCGAGGCATTGCACAACATGGGCGCACTCACATACATGCAGGCAATACACTTACACACATTAAAAAAAAAAAAAAAAGAGGATCTCACCATATAGCCTAGGCCTGCCTGGAACTCACAGCAATTCTCCTGTCTCAGCCATCCCAGTATAAGCCATCATACTGCACATACTCTTTTCTTTCCTCTCTACCAAGTATTCATTCCATGATACTATTTCATTACACTAGAAGATGTTTCCAAAGCACACACACTATATTTTACCTTATCTTCTATTGTTGGGATGGCATGCATTTTAGAAATATAAAACATATTTTAGAAAATGTGTCTTGGACTGGAGAGAGAGCTCAGCAGTTAAGAACACTTGCTGTCCTTCCAGAAGACCAGGGGTTCAATTCCCCGTACCCACATGGCAACTAACAACTGTCCTTAACTCCAGTTCCAGGGGATCCAACACCCTTTTCTGGCCTCCGCAGTCTTTGCATGACATGGATACACTTATATACATGCAGGCAATACATTCATACACATAAAATAAAAACAATAAATTAAAAAATATATATATATTAAAAAAAGTGTCTTCTACTAAGGAATTGTTACCACCCTCTAACACTATAGTGTAGAGAATTCTGCTTTTACATGAAAATTAATGCATAGGTATTCCCTAAATAATGTAAATATTTACCAAATAAACCAAACAAATAAGTTATAACATACTTACAATGCATTTATGCTTGACCAAGAATTTCTTAAATATATTTAGTCACTTTTAATTTGTTCACTTCAGTCAGAGATGCAGTTCAATTTCCATAAAGGTCTATGATCTAAAATGTAACAACTCAACCTTCAGTCAGTCTCCAAAAGACCCCCAGAAGAATGCTGATACTTAAAATAGGGTATTTCTGACAAAAATAAAATTATTAAAGACATTTTAGAAAGTTTCAGTACCATGAAATTTTACATACCTGTAATATCAAGAACTGAAGGAGATGCAATGTAGTACCTATGAACTGTTTCAAGAAGTTGAGCACCATGGCCTTGTCCTTGAAATGGAGTCAATATCAGCATCTGACTACATAAAGAATTTTAAAATTAAAACATCACTATATGTTTAAAAATTGCAAATTATTATAGTATTATGAACATTTGTTTTTTTTTAAAAAATCAAACTTCAAGAAATCCAAAACTTATCAATGTACTCAAAGCTGGTTTACTCTGCCACACAGTTTCAAGAGGAACAATAAATCAGTACATAACCAACAAATGGTGATTTAAAAAAAAAAAAAAAAAAAAAAAAACAAATCAACACTATTATAACAAGTATTGGAAACTTCAGCAGTTCCTTCTTTTGAAATAAAAGACAAGGCACGTGTTATACTGCCAATTACCTTACACGTGGCCGGGTTTTGTCTGGGTACACATAGTAATTATAGACTGTCATGTAGCCTACGGTCGCAAAGAGCGTAGCTCCATCCTTATTATACTTCTCAAATCTGCAGAGAAAACAGAAAGCCAAGCAGGTCAATTACAGTCGCGCTCCCATGCAGTGTCCATTTTCTTTTCCATTCTCTGACTGAAATTTTAGTGTCAGCAAGCTACTCTGTGAGGGCCCAATGGGTACACCTGCTATGTTCTGAATGTACAATTCACTTAATTGGTGTGCAGCAACTTGGATAAATCAGACCTCTTTACATCACTTCAGTGCACTTGCCTATTATAAAGATGAATAGGTGGCAAGTAAAAGAAAACACAGGCAAAGCTCATTTTACTGTTTAAGCCTACATTCAGGGCCCTAACGGACAACAGCATTTAATTCAGCTCTATTCTCAAGGTCTCCCAAAGCATAATGAAGGCAAACTCAAGCCCCATAAACAATAGTTTTTCTTTCCTGGGAAAAATATCATTATACTGTCCCAATAATTGGGCTGCCACAATTAAAATGCTGGCTTTGTGGAGGTAATAAGGTCTACTGTTGCTTTAGAACTGTACTTACACTAGAAAGTAGTGCCATCTTTCATCATCCATGTCAATAAAGCTAGCAGTTTCAATAAACCACATCAAAAAGGTCTGAAGCCTTTCATGATATTCTCGAAAGCCTCTACATGTCATGTCAGCCTAGGGAAAAAGCCATGAAGAGTCAGGTGAAACTCATCACAGAGGTAAGTGAAAGTCTGCAGAACACAAAACTATCCTGTGGGAAAAATGTTTAGAAGTCTCAGATTAAATATGTACACAAACATAAGAGTCAAAATAGATGTTTTTAGTACCAATAAAAAAATCTGTTTTCTGAAATGAGAATAAATTGCTGAAAATAATAAAACCACATGCAGGTTCTAGGCAAATGGAAAAACTTTACCCAAGAAATATTTAGATTTATCTTTACCTTGTATATCTGAAAAGTAAAGTTTTCTCCTCCTGTTGGACTGAGAACTGAGTATGTATGGAGTAAGGTCCCAAATGGCTTGAAATCAACCTCCTTTTCCAGCAAAGAAAGAAAATCATTTGTGTTTGTGCAAAACCCAGGTGGAATGATTTGTCTGATTTTTCCTTCCACATCATCTGCCTAAAAAATGGATAAAAAACACAAAAATTAATTAATTAATTTGATTTTTAGCTAAAAATGTTTCATTTCTTTAAAATGGACAAAACTGGTCCAGGAGTGATAGCACTTTAACCCTGGAACAGGGACACAGAGGCAGGCAGATCTCTTTGAGTTTAAGGTCAGACTGGACTACATATCAAATTATAGGTCATCCAGGGTTACATAGTGATGAGACCTTGTCTCAACAAACAAAAATAAAAAACATAAATTTTTTAATATGGACAAAACCAACAAGTATTGCAAAACTTGACAAATGCAGTAAAATGGAAAAAGGTGAGTTTCATGTATACAAAGTACTGTCATACAAATTTGAGATGAGCCTAACATAAAAATAAACGAAGAGGATGCAGGTAGCCTAGTATCAAGTACAAGAGTAATGGCAGTGTCACTGAGATTTTGAACATCATACAGAAAATGCTGACTACCTCCCTTTGTGACCAACTTGAATGAGCCACAACAAAAGGCCGCTTATTATTTTACATGTGTCAAAAGACTATATTACCCATGACATGAAAAGATCACCAGCAGTAGTGAAGTAAGGCAAGGCTAGACAGAGTCTGACTAAATGAATAGCAACCTCACAATGAACAAGTAGACAGATAACTCCCTCATATGCCAAAGTAAGATAATTTAAAAAATATCTCCACTTAGGAAATACACAAATTATATGAATGGTTATATTATCCACTCATCTCCACAATGTGACACAATTTTTATAGACCTGGATTTGTGATAGTATAAAGCAGAAAAGACTCAACAACAAAATTAAACTCAGAGATTAAAATTACCCCTGTTAAACAACCTCGATGAATGTTAAAACTATCAGCTGAGCGGACTTCATAATCCTTTTCAAAACCCAAAGACCACTTGATTGAATACATTTACTACTTCTCTTTAACCATGAATATTTGATGAAGTCTTACAATAAAGTATTACTGCTTCTCACCAGGCAATAAAACTTAATGAATTGGTCTCAACTTAACAAAACCTTATCCTTCAATACAGTCCCTAAAAGCCTGACATTACATTCAACAAAATGAACTTGCATTCTATTGAAACTTTTTCCTGAACAATGAGGCCAGGTTTTTACTTAATGGAGTTTGCCGTGAGTTCAGCTGTAATGTTTGTATTGTATCTATTTCCACAAGGACTGACACAAGAACACTTTGTGTTAACTTACTAAGCAGCTCTTTCATACCGTTTACATGCATGATGGGTATTAGTTCTAAACCAAGACCCTTGCTACTTAGTATTCAAAACAGGGAAATTAAGATGCTTAGGACAAAATACACTACAAAAGGCTAATACAACATGCTACTAATTCCTGTCCTTTCAACCATCTTTTAACTAAGTAGGAGCAATGCACCTGCAGATGAATAGCACTTTATTATCAGTTAGTTACATTTTAGGATAGAGATGCAAGGATGAAGCTTATCACAAGTTTTATTTTTAATGCTTTGTTTATAGTCATAAAAATACAAGCTACTATTTAAAATATGGCTCTTCAATATTCTGCCCAACAGTTATTTCTGATATGTACACCAGTACTTGCAATTAATTCACCCTCAAGATCAAATAAACAATATGATAAATCTACTTTGCTTATTTTAAAAATACATACTCCTTGATAAATATTTTTTCCTGAAACTGCCATCCAATGTGAAGAGACACCTTTACCATATTCTCAATAATTACCTAAGAAGTAGTTAGAAAGAGGGATCATTGCATCTTTGTTGTGTAGTAATTAAAATCAACATCAAAAGCCCCAGAGCAATGACAGGCAAAACAGTAATCTAATTGTAGTTCCAGTTTTTAAAACTTCAAGAAAAACTACGATTAAAAAAAAAAAAAAAAAAAAGCATCATGCCAGGCGTGGTGGCACACGCCTTTAGTCCCAGGCAGAGGCAGGCGGATCTCTGTGAGTTCAAGGCCAGCTTGGTCTACAGTGAGTTCTAGGAGAGCTGAAGCTACAGGGAGATCCTGTCTCAAAAAGACCGCCGCCCCCCCTAAAAAAAAATCATTACAGGGCATTCCTAACATTATAATTTAACTTTTAATAACTTTCTTTCTAGGACTGTAGAGATTGCTTAGTGGTTAAGAGCCCTGGCTGCTCCTGCAGAGAACCCAGATTCAGTTCCCAGCATCCATAGGTAGCTAACAACCATCCTCAACACCAGTTCCAGAGGATCCGACGCCCTCTTCTGGCTTCCAAAGGCATTGCATACATGTGGTACACTTAAATACATACTGGTAAAACACTCAAGACATATAAAATTAAAATAAATAAAGCCAGGTGTGGTGGCGCACGCCTGTAGTGGTGCACGCTTGTAGTCCCAGCACTTGGGAGGCAGAGGCAGGCGGATCTCTGTGAGTTCAAGGCCAGCTTGGGCTACAGGGAGACCCTGTCTCAAAAATAACAAGGAAAGATCTTATAGTAGGTGTAAAATGAGATTTTTTTTTTTCTTCTTTTTATCAGGCAGGGTCTCATACAGGCTAGGCTGGTCTCAAATTACTATGTAGCTGAGGATGACCTTGAACTCCTGATCCTCCTGCCTCCATCTTCTAAGTGCTGGGATTACAGGTGTGCAAATCCACAGCCAGCTTGAGATGTTTTTAACTGGCATTCTCTCTCACTGTGGCTAATTAAAGTTCCAATGTTCTGTGCTTTTCCTCATCAATGAATAAAGCAATGTGCCTGAGAAAAACTGGTTATCTGTTATATTTGCATTTGTTTTGAATTTATACACATTTGGAAGTACAATAACCATTCTGGTATCTTATCTTAAGCAGTACTATTTGTCTAAGTTTGTCCCTAGTGAGTTATTTTTGAGGTTGTAATTAAAGGAATGTTAAATAGGTGGGAACATGGTGTTCTTTGACTTATGTGGCACAAGATTTAACATTACCATAATTCTAAGAATACCTAAGATATGCTACAAAAAGTAAAAGAAGTTCCATATCTTCTTAATTTGCTTACTCACACATTTTGATAATACTTCAGTTTTGTAGAGAAATCTAAAATGTGAACTTTTTAATTAGTAGAAGGGTGAATTTGGAGAGATGGCTCACTGGCTGCTCTTACAGAGGATGCAGGTTAGGTTCCCAGCACCCACATGACAGCTAACAACTGTCCTTAAGTCCAGTGCTAGGGGATCTGACACCCTCTTTTGATCTCCATGGACAGTGCAGGACATGGTGTGCACACATACTTGCAGGCAATACACTCATACACATAAAATAAAAATAATAAGTAAAATTTTTTTAAAAAGGGTCCATTTATGTTTACTGACATTGCATTAGTGTTTTGCTACTTAAACTAAGCAAGATGAAGCTGTCAATAAACAATTTTAAAACTTTTAATGATATATATAAAGAGCCTTGATGTGCCAGTACATCTTTAGTCCCAGCACTTGGGAGGCAGAGACAGATCTCTCTGAGATTGAGTCCAGTCTGGTCTACATAATGAGTTCCAGGCCAGCTGGGGCTACAGGGAGACCCTGTCTCAAAAACAAAACAAAACAAAACAAATCAAAACAACAAAAAACGCACGAAGAATCTGGGTACAGACTAGGGAGATAGCTCAGCTGGCTAAGTGATTGTTTTGCAAGTACAAGGTACTGAGTTTGATACCCAGCACCCATGTAAAAAAGCCAGGCTTGGTGGAGGTATTAAGATCCTATCATTAAAAAAGAAAAAAAGAAAAAAACATAAGAGACAACCAAAAATAAACAAATCAATGTCTGAATAATCAAGTTTACTATATTTATAAAATTCAACATAATTACCTTTAAAGATAGTGGCTAAGTCAGGTGTGGTGGCACACGCCTTTAATCCCAGCACTCGGGAGGCAGAGGCAGGCGGATCTCTGTGAGTTCAAGGCCAGCCTGGTCTACATAGTAAGTTCCAGGTCAGCTGGGGCTATAGGGAGACCCTGTCTCAAACAAACAAACAAACAAACAAACAAACAGTGGCTAATAAGAATCTCAGGCATCTTATTGTGACTATAGAATTTTAGGTGCAACTGGAGAACTCAACTTAGAAAAAAGAATAGATAATGAAAGATTAATGTAATGGGGCTAGTGAGATGGCTCAGAGTACAACGGCAGCACCATCAAGCCTGACAATGTGAGTTTTTTCTCCAGGGCCCACATGGTAGGTATTTTTTCATATGTAACATGCTACATATTATAACATATATTTATATATACCCTCAATCTGATCACCAAATCCAGTATCTAACACTGCCATGTTCTGGTTTTCTGTCTCCCTTCTTTCACTCCTGCCCCCTACTGTGCTTTCTCTGCAAAGCACACAGCATACAGAATTTTTTTTCTTATTTTGGATACTGGGTCTTAAGTAACTCAGGCCGGCCTCAAACTTGCTAGGTGGTGTTAGAAATATTTTGCTGGGATGGTTAAAAAGAATGGCAAATGTAGACTGTATAGAGCCTTAGGATCTTCTGTGCCATGATAATTTATGAGAAATAAGAGTACTTGGTAGTCTTTATAGGTTTTAAGGTAGGTGGAGAGTTCTAAGATGGCATCAAGCACACAAGAAGTGTAGGGCATGGTGGCACATGCCTGTCCCAGCACTCAAGAGGCAGCAGCAGAGGCAGGTGGATCGAGGTCAGCCTGGGATGGTCTACATAGCCAGTTCCAGGTCAGCTGGGGCTACACGGTGAGACCCGATTTCAAAAAAGGAAAAAGAACACAGTAGGGGGAAATCTTTGCTTTAACACTGAATAAATGATTTTTTTTTTTTTAAACCATAAAGCAAATAAGTAACCCTACAAAAAAAATCTTACTAAATGGGTGTGGTGGTATATACCCTTAGTCCCAGCACTCAGGAGGCAGTCAGGTGGATCTCTGTGAGAGTGAGGCAATCCTGATCTACCTAGTGAGTTACAGGGCGACCCTGTCTCAAAAAATGAACAATAAACAAAAAACAAAAACATACAAGATTGAGTCCTTATACTTAACACAATACTTCTAAATGGAAAAACCTGGTTTTCAGGAATAGAACAATTAGAAGTCAGGGAAAATTTCACTGTACATAGTATTTGAAAGATTTAGCTATTGATGTAAAAACTAAGTCAATAATTCCTTTGGAAGAAATCAATTTAGCACTATTAGCTACAACATTAAAAAAAAGCCCACCTCAAATGATAGTGAATTTTGTTTAACACAAGAGGAAACATTACCTTCATTTTAAATGAAAATATCTAGCATGAAATACTTTAAACCCTGGAGAATTTAATCATCTAGTAAGAAAAATCTGGTTACTGAAACCTCCACTTCAATAAATCTGTTCAATGATGATTTATATGGATTTAGCTGCAAACACCCATTTACCACAACTACAGCATTAGTCATTGCCACTTTTAGATCAGAAAAAAAAATCTAAAACTCCTAAAAGATACAAACTACTAGACAGAACAAATGCAATTACTTATTTATCTATCAAGTTTAGTAATTTTAAATATGGCTGGGAAGTATAAGAAAATAAAGAAAAAGACCAAATACTATTCAAAATATTTCTAATACTGAACGATACCTAACCGAGCGTTAATGGCATGGCACATGAGAGAAAGAAGAAAATAACAGGAAAAGTCAGAAATTCAAGTAAGTTAAAGCCTTCAGAAAGTCGGTTTCACTATTATTAATACATTGTTTTTTGAGCCAGGTCTTACTATGTAGCCCTGGCTGGCCTGCATCCTGAGTGCTAGGATTAAAAGCATGTGCCACCACACCCAGCTATTTTAGAAACAACTACTTTTTCAGAAAAGTTATGCCATCTAGAATGTAGTGACATAAAAGCGCCATTGTTTTCTGTATTTTTAATCTTCTGCCTAGTTGCATGCAGCACAGTATTAACAATATAATAATTATGATGACTAAATTTGCTGGATTTGTGAGTGCAAAGAACAAGATATTTTACTGTAAGAATGTAACTTTCAGTTATAGGCAGTATTCTTGCAGTGTATGCAAAAAACAAACAAACAAAAAAAAACAAAACCCCAAACAAACCCTGTTTATGAAAAAAAAATGTAATTCTCAATTTTCTAAGTATGACCCAGTGACAAAATGGGATTAAAAAATGAAACAAAACAAAAATCTCTGTGAGGTAATTGTTGAAATTTCAATGCCTTTAAACAAGGAAGGTCGAAAAACAGAGTCTAAAATCATAATTTTCTTAAGGTCCTCAAAGATTCCTATTTCAAAAAGAACAACAATGAGCCGGGTGGTGGCGCACGCCTGTAGTCCCAGCACTTGGGAGGCAGAGGTAGGCAGATCTCTGTGAGTTCAAGGCCAGCCTGGTCTACACAGTGAGTTCCAGGACAGCTGGGGCTACAGAGAGACCCTGCTTCAAAAAGACAAAAAAAAACCAAACAAAAACCCACAATGATAAAACTAGAAAATAGGTTACTGTTTCTAAAATTCACTGGTGGGATAAGTATATTCAACAGTTAAATTTTCTCATTCTGAAAGAGAAGCAGCAGCAGAGTCACTGGTTCCAAGCAACCATGTAAAACCTAGCACAGGAAATTCTGTCAGATTTCAAGGCCTAGAAGCAATCATAGCTCCACTGCCATCCTTCCTTCTTTGTGAAAGGGACACTTTAATAGCCTGGTTCCTGATCATGGAATTTGGGGCCTTAGTCAACCTTTCTTCACTTTATTCTTCTAGTACAAGTTGAACTTTGCTGCTGAGAATCTTATAATCCTTATGGGTCACTTGTGTATGTCTCAAGGGTTCACATCATTTAAAAACTTCTACAATTCTTAGTTTTTTGCTAGTGATTGAAGACTCCAAGAGATTTACGACTAACCTCTTTAGAACAAAAGGTCATTCTGTCACACCATTAGCTTTCTCTCTAGAACCCTTTCCTAACAGTTAAGTCTCCTGATTTTAGTCTTTCATCTAGTAGACTTGAAAACTTCCCAAGTCAATTCCTGGACCCTTTTTGCTTAACACATCTTCCCTCAATTATCTTTGTTCTCATTTCACTGTGAGCACCCAGTAACCAGGTCATACCCTTTAATCTTCTCATCTAAATATCCAAATCCAGTTGCTTCTAAGTTCTTTCCATAACAACAGGACAAAATTCAGCCAGGCTTTCTGCCCCTTATTTAATGAGGATATCCTTTCCTCCTGTTTCTCATTTTCTTTGGGACCATCAACAGAAGAACCTTTCTGCCAAAATTATGTTTATAATGCATATATATTCTGTAAGATAATGTAGGCTTACTTTCCTATACTAACTTCATTGTGATTCCTAACCTTAATGTCCATATTTCTACCAACAGTGTACTCAAGGCAATCTGTTTTTAATATCATACACCACAAATTCTGTCCATCTCTATCATTCTCAAAGCTACTTCTAGACTTTAGTTATGGTACAGTAGTACCCCACTTTCTGGTATGAAAATGCCAATTAGTCCTGTGGTGCTCTAACAAACTACCAAGACCTCAGTAACTTACAACAGTTATTCTGTCAAGAGGGAAAGTCTAAAATCAGTATCATTAACTGTATTAGTCACTTTTCTGTTGCTGTGATAGAAACCCTGACCCAAGCAATTTATAGGAGAATTTATTTGCACTTATGATTCCAGGGGAATTATAGTCCGTCACGGCGGGGAGGCATAGTGGCTGGAGGTCGCTGGAGCAGGAGCAGCAGAAGCTAAGCTCTCACATCATCTCACAGGCACAGGAAGCAAGAGAACAACTACAGATCTGGCAAGGCTTAAGAACTCTACAAGCCCACCCTGAGTGACATGCTTCCTCCAGGATAGCCACACCTTCTAAAACCTCCCCAAACAGTGCCATCATCTGGGGACAAAATGTCCAAACACCTGGAGCCTATGAGAGCCTATAGGGGACATTTTCACTCAAACCACCACACTAACCTATAATCTTGGGGTTCTCCCCGTCCTGGATGAAGAGAATCTATTCTTTAGCACTTTTCAGTTTCTAATGGCTAAGCATTTTTTGGCTTGTGGACACATGTCATCATATCATCTGCCTCCCTCTCAGAAGGATACATATAGTTGCATTTAGGGGCCCTTCAAGATATTCCAGAATAGTCTCAAAATTCTTAATCATGTCTACAAAGTGTTTGATTGCAATATCAAGTAGCAGTAAAAGGTTCCAGAGATTAGGACATGGATATCTTTTAAAAGCTATTATTTAGCCTATCACAGATACATATACTTTTTTTTTCCCACGTGACAACCAGATATTCAGTTTATTGTAAGTTATGTTCTTTTGTTCTAAAATGCCATCTCTACAACAAAAGAATTCTGTGTTATGTTCCTTTGTGGGTGGCTAGGGTGGGATTGCACTATTAGGAAAAGGAAGAAAATGTTCAAATAAAATTTGCAGATGAAATTTCTAATATGTGGCAGAAGGAATTTGGCTTATAACCAAATAACTAATCCAGAAAGATAAAAGGGAACTAATTTAGCAACTGAGATACATATACTTTTTAATCCTGCTGGCTCTTGTATCTTTTGAAACTTGCTTCAAAATAGTTTAATACAATCACCTTAATTATCTACATTTATAAAAGCATATATTAGCAAAATTTTGAGATTAGAATTTCAGCAAGAGAATTTTAAATAAATTCTATAAGAAGTAAAAGTAGAAAACTTAAAAGTGGGTATGGTGGCTCACATCTATAAACACAGCACTTAGAAGGCAAAGGTAGGAGAATCAAGAATTCAAGGTCAACTTGGGCTATGGAGCAAGATCTTGTTTCAAAAAAAAAGAAAAAAGAATTTAGATACTGCCTTCGATTTTCTTTGCTTTCTAAGAATGAAGTTAGTATCTTGTATGTCTACAATTAAAACAAAAGTTGGAGCCGGGAGTGGTGGTGCATGCCTTTAATCCCAGCACTGGGGAAGCAGAAGCAGGTGGATCTCTGTGAATTCAAGGCCAGCCTGGTCTACATAGCAAGTTCCAGGCCAGCTGGGGCTACAGGGAGACCCTGTCTCCAAAAAGATTAAAAAAAAAAAAACAAAAAACCAACAAAAAAACAAAAAAACCTAACAAAAGCTGGTTAAAAAAAACTGATAAAAGTTTTTTTTTTAATGAAGTTCACCCAGGAAACGAATAGGTTAAGTATCAGAAAGGATTAAATGAAAGACAATTACTTCCCATAACTAAAATGAGTACGTGATTCTGAAACTAAGTTACAATTTCTCCTCTCTAAAACTTCAAAAATTTTCATATATACAAATGGAAAACAGCTAAAATAAATGTATTTCTGTTTTTACCTCCACACAGTCAAAATTCTCATCAACTTTAGATGCATATTCAACACGGAACATTGTTGATAGGCTACCAGCAATATAATACAACAGGATCTTCAAACCTTTATAACCAAAAGCAGTTTCACTGAAATGAAAAACAAAAACAGCCAAAGTGAATTTTTGCCAAGTAATCAAAATGATCAATCATACACATATAAACAAACTTAACATCGTGGGCAATTTTAAGATTTTTAAACTATATTTTTGGTTTAAAAAATAAAGAAAAAAAAAACCATTTGCAATGAAACTATGCCTCAGTTGCATGTACAAGAGAATACTAAGACCTAATTTAGGAATGCTGTTTGGACTAAATGGCTAAGTTCAATGTAAAACATTTACAATATTGACTAGCATATTTTATGTGCTCAATAAACATTAGACAATATTACCCTGCTACTATGATTAAGGCATTTCAAATGACATGGGTAATATTAAGCTAAAATCTGGCTACACAACAAGACCTAGCCTTGGGTAGACCCTTTTTAACTTATCACTGGCATCCACAGCTGCTCAAAGTAGTAAGCACTAACTACATTTAAACCCATCTATGAGTCCCAACTCTGCTCCCTACCATCACATAGCATTGTTATTCTGTTTTCCAGTTTATGCAGGATAAGACTGAATTCTGAAATATCCAGAACAGGTAAATCTACAGATAGAAAGCCGGTTCCTGACTGCTCAGGACTGGAGAGAATTAGAGTGGGGAAAAGGGCTTTTTGGTAAGAGTAATGAAAACATTCTAAACTTGACTGTAGTACAGTTCTGCCACTCTGAATATACTAAAACCCACTGAATTAGAAATTTTAAATAAATGAACTACATGGATGCAATTTATCCCAGAAAAGCTGTTTTCTTATTTAGAATTTTTTAAAAACTGAATTCTGACAGAGTACTTGTAAAAAGCAGTTTCTCGATTTCTGTCTAGGCTACTGAAATGATGTTCATTGCAGGGACTCTGCCAGGCAAAAAGAGTGGCAATGACACTTGAATCAGGACCATGTCATGCTTGGATCATATGGTATAGGGTGATCACCATTATGTGACTGTCACCTGTTCAAGTCAGAATAATGGTGTGCAAGCACACCCATTTGCAATGATACTACACATATCAAATAGATGAATGTGCAACATGTCATGAAGAAGCAGTACCTGAAAACTAGAGCTTATCCAGTGAGTTACCACAGGAAGAGGTTGGGTTTTTCTGTTTTTTTTTTCTAGAGACCAAACATGCTCTACAACCTGAGCTATACTCAACCTTAGAAGAAATTTTTAACAGCAAAAGGATGAGTTTAAAATAAATATCCCCAGGGGAGAGATGGCTCAGTGGTTAAGAGCACTGGCTGCTCTTGCAGAAGACCCAGGTTGGATTTTCAATATTCACATGGCGGTTAACAACCATCTGTAACTTCAGTTCCAGAGGATCTGAAGCCTTCTGACCTCCGTGGGCATTGAACAACATGGGTACACTTACACACATGCAGGCAATATAGTTATACACATAAAAAATAAAAATATTAAAATAAATATCCCTCTAAAGATGAAAATCCCCCCCAAAGAAAAATAATCTTTTAGATTCTTTTCAGACTCTACAATTGTTTCTAGTATCTTACTTTTAGAATACCAGTAAATCTGTTAAAAATATGAAATGTTGGGGCTAGAGATGGCTCAGAGGTTAAGAGCACTTCCTCCTCTTTCACAGGACCCAGGTTCAGTTCTTAGCACCTACATCACGTGGCTCTCAACCACCTATGACTCCAGCTTCAAGGAATCTGATGCCTTCTGGAGTCTGCAGGCACCTGCATTCACTCAGGCACATGCACACACATAGATAAAAATAAACCTTTAAAAAAGAAATTTAAAAATGTGAAATGTTGAAATTTTGGAATGAGTCTACATATAATATGATTATTAATATTTAAAAGTAGACAAAATGCCTGCTGATATATTAATAAGAAATATTCAGAAATTTTGTTAAGTACCTTTTTTAAATGAAATATACAAATGATATTAAAAATAATAGAAGAAACTATCATGAACAAAAACATTTTAAATGTTAACTATGTTCAAATATTCTTTCCTGCTGTAATAAATCAGAGTTCCTTGGGAAATAGGTCAAGTTCAGAACTAAAGAGAAAAGTTCAACATGAATCTGAAACACCTTATTATACTAGAATATCTCTAAAATGATGAGAACATATCAAAAGGAGTAAAAAATATCTGAAAGTATGCTGGTTGCCAAATCTGGACTAAAAAAAGGCACCAAAATTAGGACCAGTAATAGATTATAACTCATTGGATTTTTTAGAATATTTCAGGCTCGCAAGATGGCTCAGTGGGTAAGGGCAAGTGATAACCTAAGTTCGAACCTCAGGATCCATATGGTGATGGTGTACATGTATGGGGGTGGTGTCAGGACAACTTGCAGGAGTTGACTCTCTACCATATAGATGTAGCGTTAGAAAATCCCCATTTTATAATCATAGTAAAATACTGATTTAGGCAGAATCATCAATGGATGCTAGAACTACATGAGAGTTTAATGGGGCACAGGATATTAGATTACTCATAAATTACAATAGGAAAAAAACTTTTAACTGTCTAGAAGAGAAATCTGACAGATTCTTTTAAGTTAACTAAGTTATCCAACCAAAAATGGCATAAACCAATATTATGGCCTCCTGATGTGACATGAAGGATACAATACTACTTTTGTTTTAGAATTTAAAAAAATAGGCACTATTTGAATTTGTAAGAAATTAATTAAAATGAGACTTCTGTAAAACTAGCCTATACTGGCAGTTTGACTAGTGGTGCAACAGAGGAGTAGGCAGTGGGATCTCGCCTGTGTCTGACTGGCCTTTTCCTCTGCCTTGCTTGTCTATACTTCAGCACAATCCAAGATGGCTAATGGTAAGACTGGAAAGGACTTTGGAAAGGCCAAGACAAAGGCAGGGGGGCTTGCAGATCCCTGTGGGCTGTATTCACCGACACCTGAAATCCAGGACAACCAACCACGGACAGGAGGGTACCTCTGCTGCCGTGTACAGCGCAGCCATCCTGGAGTACCTCACCGCAGAGGTACCTGAATTGACAGGAAATGCATCAAAAGACTTAAAGGTAGAGCATATTACTCTTCTTCACTTGCAGCTTCCCATTTGTGGAGATGAAGAATTAGACTCTCTCATCAAGGCTACAATTGCTGGTAGTGGTGTGATCCCACACATCCACGAATCTCTGACTGGGAAAAAAATGACAACTGAAGACTAAGGATGCCTGTTTGGACTTTAATTGTGATGCAGAAGTTATAGTAACAAACATTTGGTTCTGTACAGACATTATTTCCACTCTGGTGGATAAGCTCAATAAAGGTCATATGCAAAACTAAAACAAACAAAAAACCTAGCCTATACTGTTTACAAACGTTTATAGAAAACAAACACTAAGGAACGTTTTCATATTGTAGGAGAACAAAGAGTTATGGCAACTAAATGCAACGTGATTCGAAAATGGATCCAGGAGGAAGAAATTGTTATAAAAGTTTTGGAAGTTATTATTTGAAAAACATATTGTACATTAGAAAATAGTACTACATTAATGTTAAATTTCCTGAATTCTGATCAGTTCACCATGGTTAGTCCTTATATTCAAGAAATGCCTACTAAATTCAGGGTAAGACTCAAAATCAGGATCAAGATATAACTGTGACCTACTTTCAAATGGTTCAACAACAATACAATAAAATATTTATATATGGAAAAATTATAAAATCAAATTTGGGTAAAAATTAAACAGGCATGGTCATGCGTGCTTATAATACTAGCACCTGGGAGAGGTAGGTATATCAGAAATACAGGGCCAGTCTCTGCTACAGAGCAAGTTTGAGACAGTATGGACTTTATGAGGCTCTATCTTAAAAACAACGCAACAGTAAAAAGCTGAATCCAAATAAAGAAAATTGTATTCACTGTACCTTTGCAGTTTTTGTTCTAATCAGAAGGAAAAAAAAATGAGAAAATAGTAATTGACTATATCAGCAATGTAGAGGTCTAAGAAATGAAAGAATGTGCTAAATATATCAGGACATATCTTTAAAGTTGCTTTTAGCATCTAGGAAGATGGCTCAGTGGGTAAAGAATACTTGCTACATAAGCATGAGGACCTGAGGCAGCATCCCCAGCACCACGTAAAAGCCAGGTGTCCATGCATATGCTCTAACTCCAGCACTGTGGGGCAGAGTCAGGAGGATAGCTAGGGCTTGGTGCCACCTCACATCAGGTTCAGTGAGAAACCCTCTCTCAAACGAATAATGTGGAGAGTGATAGAGCAGGCCACCCAGTGTCGTCCCTCTGGCTTCCGTGCATCCCCCACACGTGGGCACAAATACTATATGCACACACTAAATTCCTCAAATTGCTTAACTTAATCATCAAATAGAGTTTTCTAGTTTTAGGGGGATTTAGTCTATACTAGAAGTAGTATAACAAGAAGTATGCAAAACTAAAAAAATAGTAATTATAAACATGGGCTCTGGAGTCAGACTGTCTGAATCTGAACTCTAATCCTCAGGCAATTGCTCAGTTCCACTAAATGCACAAAGTAGTAAATAATACAATGGTTAACAGTTCAGTGAGACTTAAAAGAGAACGCATTTATAGCAGTAAATAGTAGGCATTACATAAGAGTGGTATCTCAATGCAAAAAATACCATTCTAATACATATTTTAAGATATAAATTACATGAAATATGAATAAAAAAGTCTGTAACTGCTCTGGCAGAGGACCCAGATTCAATTCCCAGCACCCACATGGCGGCTACAAACTGTACTTAACTCCAGTTCCAGGGGAATCCGAAGCCCTCTTTTGACCTCCGCGGCATTGCACGACACGGGTGCACTCACATACATGCAGGCAATACACTCATACACATAAAATTTTTTTAAAAAAGTCTGACTTTCACATCTTTTTTACTTTTTATTTTATGTGTATGAGCATTATGCCTGCATGAATGTAAGTGCATCTATGTCATGCAGTGCCAAGGAGGACAGAAGAGGGTGTCAGATCCCCTGGAACTGGAGTTTCTGACAACTGGTACCTGCAATGTGGATGCTGGGATTCAAACCAGGGTCTTCTGCTTCTCTTAACCTTTGAGCCATCTCTCCAGCCCATGGACTTTCAAAACGTTAAGTAATTTTTTTTTTTTGGCCACACTAATTTGGCAAATATTTTATAAGTTACTTACTCATCCCCAAAGAGCTGATGGGTATATTCGGGAAAGAACGTTCTTATGTCATTCTCAAGATCTTCAGGAAAACGAACTGTTCAAAAGAATAAAAAATACAGATATTAAAGAGATCAAGGGTGATAGGCATTTTTATTTCAAGAATTTCAATATAGCTAGGATACAACCAACATTTTTCTTACTTAAAAAAATCACTTCTCTACTACATTTACACTAGATTCTCATGAGACTGGTGAACCATGAAAACTAGAATATACTTTTAAAGCTTCAGCATCAAAACTCTACTTAGAATTCTAAGAATTAGAAAACTCAGTATGACAGAGGCACCTGATTCAGTGTTTTTTGTTGTTGTTGTTTTGGTTTTTTTTGTCTTTTGTCTTTTGGAAGCAGGGTTTCCCTGTAGCTCCAGCTGTCCTGGAACTCACTATATAGACCAGGTTGGCCTTGAACTCACAGAGATCCGCCTGCCTCTGCCTCCCAAGTGCTGGGTCTACAGGTGTGCGCCACCACACCGGGCTCTACACAATTTAAAGTAGAAAATAAAACAAAAAGGGCACTGTGTTGTAAGCAAAACCTATAGCACCCAGGAAATGAAAACACTGCTATTCAATTACATTCTGAGAACAAGGATAACCTGAGTTTGATGGTGTCCCTAATACTCCACCACACTTTTGTTTTTTTTAAAAAAGCAACTTAATTTATCATTGTAAGTGCATACACACAAAAGCCACAGCTTGTGTGTGGAGGTCAAAGGACTACTTTCTGTGGTCATTTCTCTCCTTTCACCTTTATTTGAGTTCTGAGGACTGAACTCAGGTTATGAGGTTTGTGTGGCTTGAGTCATTTCACCAGCCCCCATCACTGTTTTGGACTGCTAGATGACATTTATTTTGTTACCAGTTTTTTTGTTTTTTGTTAACCCCATATTAAAAATAATGCTGCATGGGGATGAGGGGATAGCTCAGTGAGACCCTGGGTTCCATCCCTACACTGTAAAACAAGCAAAGAAAATGTTGATACCCTTGAACACATCTTACTATACTTTTAAGAATAATATAAAACAGGAAATATTTGGTAGTAGAATAATGACAGCACTGAAATTTTCTTGTAAATACTACTTAGGTGTCCTTGAGCACCAGCAGCTACATTAAACTCCTATTTCCTATAGTCTTGAGAATACCCTCAACTTCATTCTCCACCAATCTATGATAGAAATGGGTTATGTTTCTGTTCCTTTATTTGTATTTGTTGTGAGTGTTGATATTACTGGACACTTTGCTGATACAATTATCTATGAAGAAAAATTTACCAGAAGCCCTAAAGTTGAACTGGTGATGAGGCTCAGTGGGTAAAAAGCTTGACAACCCGAGTTCAATCCCCAGGATCCACATGGTAGAAGAGAACTTTCACAAGTTGTTCCCTGACTGCCACAAGTGCAGCGCCCCAAGTCCCCACACAATGAGTAAATAAGATAAAAATGTAATTTGGTAGTAGAAAAATGACAGCACTGAAATTTTCTTGCAAAACTACTTAGGTGTCCTCGAGTACCAGCAGCTACATTAAATTCCTATTTCCTAGTCTTGAGAATACCCTCAACTTCAGTCTCCATCAATCTATGATAGAAATGGGTTTAAAAAAAAAAAAAAAAGTAGTGCTGGACAGATGGCTCAGCGGTTAAGAGCACTGGTTCCTCTTGCAGAAGACCCAGGTTCAAATTCCAACACTCACATGATGGCTAACAACTGCCTGTAACTCCAGTTCCAGGAGATCCAACACTCTCTTCTGGCTTCTGCAGACATTGCATGCATGGGTACACTTACATACATTCAGGCAAACACTCATACTCATAAAATAAAAATAATAAATCCAAAAAACTTAAGTCCTTATGTAGATGAAAATAAGACAAATTTATAGATGAAAAAATTTTAGTAGTCTTCATGGTCAATGACGTTAGTCACTGGATGCCAAAGTATTACCCTGCTTCAAGTTTTTTTTTTTTAAGTTAGTAAAGGATTTTGAGGATAATCAGAGGAATCAAGAAATTCCATAAAGATTTACCTTCAATTTTCTTAGCTCTGACAATGTATTATGGTTATGTATACATATGAATACTAGTTCTATCAGAAAACATGCTATGACAAGAATGTACAGAAATCTTTCATATGAGTCAACAAAAATACAAACTAAGTTAAAAATACAAACTAAAACTAAAGCGAAATGTTAATTCCTAAAAGTAGGTGTTGGATTTATCAATGTTATTGGCCAAATTTTCCTGCTTTAAGTTTCTCATATTAACAATTGGGGAAAAAAAAAAAAAGAGGAGAGGAAGGGATATAACTTAGCTGGCAGAGTGCTTGCCTAGCGCATGCACTAAGCCCTGGGTTTGATCAACAGAGCCATATAAAAATCAGGTGTGGTAGTATCCATACCTGTAATCCCAACACAGTGGGTACAGGTAGAGGCAGGAGGATCAAAATCTATAGTCATTCTCATCTACATAATGAGATCAAGGCCAGCCTAGATCGAATACATGAGATTGTATCTATAAATAAAAATAAATACCTGAAAAGCAGGTGATGAGATCACATGCATTCATTAATTTGCTATTATTTTTATGTAATATTTCATAGTTAAATACTTAGGCTCATTAACTTAAAATATCCAACTGTTAAATTTCAAATGTTTGAAAATATCTGGAAATCTCTAGATTTCTGAAAAACTAATTTCAATCTACTGACTCTTATATGTACATAATATAACAATCTGACAGAAATGGGTAAAGAGACATGGAATGCAAGTAATGACCAAGTATTATGAGAAGCCCATCTATGATATCATTCCTACAATTGATCTTCTATCCAAATTAGACTCTACCATTTTGCCCATGGAATTTGGTATGTAGAAAACAGAAATAGCTATGGGTGGTGGTGCATATGACTAATTCCAGCACTTGGGAGGTGAAGCAAAGTCAATCTCAGCTATGTAAGACATTCAAAGCCAACATGGGCTACATTATAACATGTCTCAAAACAGAAACTGCAAGATGGTAAGACATTAAATCTAAGGTTGACTCACAATCTGGCAAATACACACAAGTGCAAACTCTGCTTGATAACAGAAATATTAAATGTTTTTAAGTCTTTACAATCCAGTTATGTCTGTACAGCAAGCAAACAACTCAAATGAACTGTAACACTGTGACCTCAATTTTGTAAAAGAGATACTATAAATACATAATAAAATGATCCACAGCCATATTATAATACCATAGCAACTGAGGAATAACTTAACTTTTACTTCTTCTACTCTTTGTACTTTCCAAAATTTCAGTAAAACATGCTACTCCAATAGATAGACAAATATGTAATATAAAAAGCTGAAATAAGCCTGGTATGGCAGAATGTGCCTGTAATATGAGGACAGACAGAGCAGAAGTGCAAGTTCAAGACCAGCTTGGGTTAAATAGCAAATTCCAGGTCAGTCTTGGCTATATAGAGAGACTGTCTCAAGAAACAATAAAGGCTATATGGTTACCCCAGTACTCTAGAGGCAGAGGCAGGCAGACCTCTGTGATATCAAGGCCAGCTTGGTCCATATAGCAGAGTTCTAGGCCAGCTGGGACTACCAGGAGACCCTGTCTTTAAAAAAAAAAAAGGGGGGGAGGGGGAGATGGCTCAGCCATTAAGAGCACTGGCTGCTCTCACAGAAGACCCAGGTTCAGTTCCCAGCACCCTCATGGCAGCTAACAACCATCCTTAACAACCCAGTTAGAGGGGATCTGATGCCTTCCTCTGGCTTCCATAAACATTGCACATATGGGGATACTTACATACAAGCAGGCAAAACACTCATACACATTAAAAACAACAATAACAAAACCCCCATACCAACATTCTCCCCACTTAAAAAAAAAAAGGAATTCTTAAGCACTAAAACTTTTCCTTCTGTGAAAATCTATGTCACTAAAGACTGGAGAGAGAGAACCGTAGTTAAAAGTGCATACTGCTCTTTCAGAGGACTCGACTTCTTTCTTCTTCCTATGGTAGGTTCTTCATGTTCCTCCTAAGGCTAATCAATTGACAAATGGAGTACTTTCTCCTCTTCTGAAAGATGTCTCAAAAAAAAAAAAATTCTAAATTCTCAAAAATATCAACTCTACAGATTAAAAAATTTAAAAAAATTTCAAAGATATCAACTTTACAAATATCCCCTTTCCTCTCTAGTATTTTTTCCTTGTCTTATATACTACAGGCATCAACATCAGCATGTTATAATTTCTCACATACTAAAAAAAAACAAAAAACAAAAAACAAAAATTTATCTAGCTGGAGAGATGGCTCAGTGGTTAAGAGCACTGGCTGCTCTTGCAGAGGACTCAGGTTTCTCAGTACCCACAGCTAACAACTATCCATAACTCCAGTTCCAGGAGATCTGATACCCTCTTCTGACCTCCGCAGGCATTGCATGACATAGGTGCACTTATATACATGCAGGCATAACACTCATACACATACAATAAAAATAATTAAAATATAATAAAATATAATTTTTAAAAAGTACACTTGCTGCTCTCATAGAGGAGCAGAATTCGGATTCTAGCACCCACATCAGGTGGGTCACAACTGCCTGTAATTCCAGTTTCAGGTCATTGGACACCCCGTCTGACCTCCACAGGCACCCACACATGTGTGCATACACAAACACACAGAAATAAAAATCCAGTCTTTTAAAAAATCTTATCACAAGATCAGTATCTGATGTAAATGTCAATATAAAGCAAGACAAGGAGTTAAAGAGGGAAGAGAGATGAAGAGCTATCTTTAGTCTTTACTACCAGAGATAAAAGAGGAACACTTTATAATAAATAGCTAATTCAGGGCTGGGTAATGTAGCTCAGTTGGTAGAGTGTTTGCCTAACATGTACCAGGCCCCTGGATTCAATCCCCAGCACCACATAAACTGGACAATGTTGCACACCTGCAATCTCAGTATTCAAGAGGTAAAGATAGGCAGGAGAATCCTAAATTCAAGGTAATCCTCAGTTTAAGGTCAGCCTGGGCTCCGTAAACAGACAAA